AATGTCCTGGCGAAGGACCCAACAATATGCAGTTGTGAGTAAAGCAAGTGTTGGTATCGTCTTCGGTGGAGCTCCCTGTGGGGCCACGGAACGTGTGAGGGGTGTGCCAACATGGGCGCTGTGGTGGCATGCAGGCGCAGCCACTGGGGCCTACGGTGGAGCTCCCCCTGGAGCCACGAAACGTGTGACGGGTGTGCCGAACTTGGTGCGGGGGTGTCATGCGATCGCAGCCACTGTGGCTTTCGGTGGACCTCCATATGGGGTCACGAAACGTGTGAGGCGTGAGCCAACATGGGCGCGGTGGTGCCATGCAAGCGCAGCCACTGGGGCCTACGGTGGAGTTCCCCATGGGGCCACGAAACGCGGGAGGGGTGTGCCGAAGTGGGCGCGGTGGTGTCATGCGAGGGCAGCCACTGGGGCCTACGGTGGAGTTCTCTGGGGGGCCACGAAACGTGTGACGGGTGTACCGACATGAGCGCGGTGGTGTCATGCGAGCGCAGCCACTGGGGCCTACGGTGGAGCTCCCCCTGGAGCCACGAAACGTGTGACGGGTGTGCCGAACTTGGTGCGGGGGTGTCATGCGATCGCAGCCACTGTGGCTTTCGGTGGACCTCCATATGGGGTCACGAAACGTGTGAGGCGTGAGCCAACATGGGCGCGGTGGTGCCATGCAAGCGCAGCCACTGGGGCCTACGGTGGGGCCCCCCCTGGAGCCACGAAACGCGGGAGGGGTGTGCCGAAATGGGCGCGGTGGTGTCATGTGAGCGCAGCCACTGGGGCCTTCGGTGGAGTTCCTTAGGGGGCCACGAAGGGTCTGAGGGGTGTGCCGAAACGGGTGCGGTGGTGCTATGCGAGCGCCGCCACGGGAGTTTTCCGTGGACCTCCCTATGGGGCCACGAAGCGTGTGAGGCGTGTGCCGAGAATGAGCGCGGTGGTGTCATGTTGGCGCAGTCACCGGGCTTTTCGGTGGAGCTCCCCATGGGGCCACGAATCGTGTGAGGCGTGTGCCGAAATGAGCGCGGTGGTGCCATGCAAGCGCAGCCACTGGGGCCTACGGTGGGGCCCCCCCTGGAGCCACGAAACGCGGGAGGGGTGTGCCGAAATGAGCGCGGTGGTGTCATGCGAGCGCAGCCATTGGGGCTTTTTGTGGAACCCCGCATGGGGCCACGAAATGTGCGAGAGGTGTGCCGAAATTGGTGCGGTGGTGTCATGGAGCGCAGCCACTGGGGCTTGCGGTGGAGCTCCCTTATGGAGCCACGACACGTGTGCGGAGTGTGCCGAAACGGGCGCGGTGGTGTCATGCGAGCACAGCCACTGGGGCTTTCGGTGGAGTTCCTCATGGGGCCACGAAGATTGCGAGGGGTGTGCCGAAATGGGCGCGGTGGTGTCATGCGAGCGCAACCACTGGGGCGTTCGGTGGAGCTCCATACGGGGCCACGAAACGTGCGAAGCGTGAGCCAACATGGGCGCGGTGGTGCCATGCAAGCGCAGCCACGGGGGCTTCACGAAACGTTTGAGGGGTGTGCAAACGTGGGCGCGGTGGTGTCATGCAAGCGCAGCCACTGGGGCATTCGGTGGGGCTCTCCATGGGGGGGCACGACACGTGTAAGGGGTGTGCCGAAAAGGGCGCAGTGACGTCATGCGAGCGCAGCCAGTTGGTTCTTCGGTAGAGCTCCCGAAGGGGCCACGAAACGTGTGAGGGGCGTGCCGAAACGGGCGCGGGGGTGTCATGCGAGCGCAGCCACTGGGACTTGTGGTGGAGCTCCATCTGGGGCTACGAAACGTGTGAGGGGTGTGCCGACATGGGTGGCGATGATGGTGGCGATGACGGCGACGAGGATGACGATGGCGATGACGGCGACGAGGACCCAACACCACAGGATGGTTGGGAAAAAACATCCCTCTATACCAACTCCGTGAAGCGGAGCTGTTGCTGGTAAATTCTCGAATGGAGGACCCCAGTAAGGTTGAGTCCCTTCTGGGCCCACGAAACGTGTGAGGGGTGTGCCGAAACGGCTGTCCTGAGCGATGGGAGGAGGGAGGAGCGGGAGGAGGAGGCGGGAGGGAGGGAGGGAAGGAGGGACGCGGGGCGCTGTGTCTTCAAAATGGGGACCCAACACCACAGGATGGTTGGGAACAACAACAACAAGATTCTTTCTCGGAGGTCCGCGCGGGGTGTTTGGATCGGCACTTTTCCCCCCGCGGAGCCGCCCCAGGCGCGCTCCGCGCGACAGGGAGGGGGGGGCCATCGCCGATCCAAGAAATCAGCGCGGGCCTCCTATAAGTTATGCGGATGCCGTGTTTTGTTCCTCTGGCCGAGGGCTCCGACGACGTGCGATTGTTTCGGTCGCAGCTTTTCCCAACCATCCTGTGGTGTTGTGTCCTCGTTTTGAAGAGACGGTCCCCGCGTTCCTAATTTTGCAGTTCCACCCACCCAGTACAGCGCTTCGTGGCCCCATAGGGAGCTCCACCGAAGCCCCCAGTGGGACCGCCCGCATGCGCCCCCCCACACCAATTTTGGCAGTTCCACCCACCGAAGCCCCCAGTGGGACCGCCCACGTGCGCCCCCCACGCCCAATTTGGTATTTTCACCCACCCAGTACAGCGCTTCGTGACCCCATAGGGAGCTCCACCGAAGCCTTCAGTGGGACCGCCCACATGCGTCCCCCACATCCAGTTTGGCATTTTCACCAACCGAGTACAGCGCTTCGTGGCCCAATAGGGAGTCCACCGAAGCCCCCAATGGGACCGCCCGCGTGCGCCCCCCACGCCCAATTTGGCATTTGCGCCCACCCAGTACCGCGCTTCGTGGCCCCACAGGGAGCTCCACCGAAGCCCCCAGTGGTACCGCCCGCACGCGCGCCCCACATCCAATTTGACATGTTCACCCACCCAGAACAGCGTTTCGTGGCCCCACAGGGGGCTCCACCGAAGCCCCCAGTGGGACCGCCCGCATGCGTCCCCCACGCCCAATCTAGCATTTTCACTCACCCAGTACAGCGCTTCGTGACCCCATAGGGAGCTCCACCGAAGCCCCCAGTGGGACCGCCCACATGCGCCCCCCACATCCAATTTGGCACTGTCACCCACCCAGTACAGCGCTTCGTGGCCCAATAGGGAGCCCCACCGAAGCCCCCAGTGGGACCGCCCGCATGCGTCCCCCATACCCAGCTTGGCACTGTCACCCACCCAGTACAGCGCGTCGTGGCCCCATACTGAACTACACCGAAGGCCCCAGTGGGACCGCCCGCATGCGTCCTCCATACCCGATTTGGCATTGTCACCCACCGAGTACAGCGCTCCGTGGCCCCATAGGGAGCTCCACCGAAGCCTCCAGTGGTACCGCCCGCATGCGTCCCCCACACCAAATTTGGCATTTTCGCAGACCCAGTGCATCGTTTCGTGGCCCCACAAGGAGCCCCACCGAAGCCCCCAGTGGGGCCGCCCGCATGCGTCCCCCACACCCAGTTTGGCATTTTCACCCACCCTTTACGACGCTTCGCGGCCCCATGGGGAGTTTCACCGAAGCCCCCAGTGGGACCGCCCGCGTGCGTCCCACACGCCTAATTTGGTATTTTCACCCACCCAGTGCAGCGCTTCGTGGCCTCATAGGGAGCCTCACCGACGGCCCCAGTGCTACCGCCCGCATGCGTTTCCCCCCCCCGCCCAGCGCAGCGCTTCGTGGCCCTATAGGGAGGTTCACCGAAGAAGATATTCACACTTGCGGTATCCACAACTTCATATAGTTGGGTCCTTCGCCAGGGTAATGTTGTGTGTTCCTAGAACTGAACCCTGGACGCACAGCTACCACCGGAGGCAGGGTCGGGACCTGGGATCTGAAGCACCACGTCGTCGGGATGCCAGCGAGAGCAACCGATGCCGCGGCTCGCCCTGGGAGGGGCCCTCGCCGCCGCGAAGCTCTGCTCGGAGCACGCCCTTCGGGAGAGGTCCCGAGAGGAGGAGATGGAGGAGGAGGCGGGAGGAGGAGGAGGAGGAGGAGGAGGCGGGAGGAGGAGGCGGGAGGAGGAGGAGGAGGAGAAAGAGGAGGGAGGAGGAGGAGAGGAGGAGGAGGGAGGAGGAGAGGAGGAGGAGGATGAGGAGGAGGAGGGGGAGGAGGAGGAGGAGGAGGAGGAGGAGGAGGAGAGAAGGAAGAAAAGGAGGAGGAGGAGGCCGCGAGAGGAGGAGGCGGAGGAGGGAGGAGGAGGAGAGGAGGAGGAGGAGGAGGAGGAGGGAGGAGGAGGAGAGAGGAGGAGGAGAGGAAGGAGGAGGAGGAGGGAGGAGGAGGGAGAGGAGGAGGTGGGATGGGGCAGCGCTCCGGCGGGAGCGCATCAAAAGTCCCCCTCGCCCAGGCCTCGCCGATGGGGGCTTGGGGGCTCGCCCCGCCCGGGAGCGCGAGGTGGCGCGGTCGAGGGCCTCGATCGCCGATCTGCCAGCGATGCATTCTCCTTTTCCTCCTCCCTCCTCCTCCTCCTCCTCCTCCTCCTCCTCCTCCTCCTCCTCCTCCTCCTCCTCCTCCTCCTCCTCCTCCAGCCTCCTCCTCCCGCCTCCTCTTCCTCCTCCTCCTCCGATTCCAGATCGATGTTCCCCCCCTGAGCTGCTGCCTCCCTTCGGTGGGGGCGTCGGTTAAGGAGTCTGCCGAGGAGGCGTCACACCCTGGGGATTCCTTCTCTGATGAGGGCGGCGGTGGTATCCAAGGCCAATCCACGCTTGGAGCTCCACTGGCTTCCAGACCTTGGGTTCCTTATCCAATGGTTCCTTATCCAGTACCCTCACCGTGCCGTTCCTCATCACATCGTTACCTTCGGTTCCCCCAGACATCCGCCGATATGATTGTTTCACAATCCGCGGCCCCAGAGGTCACGACCCCTTCCCCGGGAATGATTTTTCGTCCGGCAGATCCATGTTTGATAGCCCCCGGGCCGTGAACGGGCCCCGGAAGCCGAACTCCAGGAAAGAACGCCGGATTGAAAAAGCATATCCTCGGATCTTTGGGTCCCAAGGCGGCCGGGCTCCTCGGCGTGGGGGCCAGGCAGTCGCCGCCGCCGCCGCCGCTGGGAGCGGTCCCTCTAGAGGCGGAGGCGATCCAGGAGACGGCCGGAGGTGTCGGCGAGAGCGGCCCGGGCATGGGCCGGGTGTTGCTAGAAGTGCCCCCTGGCCCAAGGTGCCCCCAGGCAGAATCCTCCAGGAGGCCCCACGGCCTCCAGAGCACGCCTCCCCTGAGACCCGATGCGGCGAAAAAAACACAACAATGTAGAAGATCACGCCTGGAGTCCCAGACCCCATCTGTCTGCGTCATGCTTCGAGCCGGATCGATCTTCGAGGGTCCCGGGGCCCGAAGCGGAGCGAAGACGCCCGGCGAACAAAGTGCAACGCCAGCATCTCAGGGTCACGAGGCCCGGGGGCCCGAGGGGCTCCCAAAACGGAGCGCAGACCTGGGGGCTCCCTGGGCCAGGGGCACCTCATTTGATCAGCAACCCTGGGCATGAGCTTCCGGGGGCCTGCAGAGGCCAGGGCTGGACCCAAACGCTGTTGCGCTGGACTCCGGCTGCGTTCTGTGTTTCGCTTCGGGAGGGAGGCACAGGAGAACAGGTCGAGCAGAACGGGAAGCAGCACGAGCACAAAACGAAAAACAACGTTCAGGTCCAGCCCGGGCAGAGGCTTCTGGGGTCGGCACCGGCACCCCCCCCCCCGCTCCCCCGCAGAGAGCCAGCGCACTGAAGACGGGGCGCCGGTGGTAAACCGTCAACCATGGCTACCGCCGGTGGATTCGCAGAGCTCCTGTCAGCAGGGAAGAAACACACAAACACAATTAATCGTCGATCCCCCAGAAGGTATGGGAAAACATGGGTAGTGGGGGGAAGACCCAAAAAAAACAGAAAACATTGGAAATTATGGGGAATCGTGTTATTCGTGTCTAGTTTATTTGTATGTCCCAGGGCCCCTTCATTCTGCCCGAGCACAGACCCAGACACCCTCGGGTCCTGAAAAAAATCACGACGGGAGGTCTGTCCCCATTTTCGGCCTCGGGGGACCCTTGCCGGCCCTCGGGACCGTCAAAAAACCACTCAGGATGCGAAGGTTTACCTTGACACGTCGATTAGCGAATTGGCCGTTTTCGGCTCGCGAGGGGGCGTCGCAGCCGTCAGTTTTGCAGGTCCAGGTTCGTCGGTTTCGGTCCCAGGCCGCCTTCACTAAAGGATTTTGTACTAAGGGGAGGTTTGTCCACCGCCGAAGGATGATAAACCGGTCCCGGGGAATGTGTCGAGACTTCTGGGGGTCGACGTCATGAAAAAAAACATGGCGTTGGGGGTCTGGGGACGCCTCTAGAGAATTCGCTTCATCAAGTCTCGCGAGGCTGCAGACTGGTGTTTTCGGCGCCAGGCCCCCCTCCCCCCAAGAGGTACAACGCATTGAAAAAACAAGACGACGCGTTTTGCGGTTTTCGACCTCTGGGGGCCTTCGCCGGGCCCCGGGACTCAGGATGGAAAGCTGGTCCGCGGGGGGCGAGGCTTCCGGAAATTCCGCGTTGAGAAGAAAACAGGGGCCCTGAGACCCAGGCGCTGCAACTTTTTGAACACCAGGCGTTTTCGCCCAGTTTCGGGCCCCGGGGCCAGATCCAGCTCGAAGCCTCTGGCGTTAAGTCGGGCCTGTCCCCCTACAGGGGGAGTTACGACGATGTTTTTTGTTGTTGTGTTTGTTTGTTTTACACAAAAAAAAGTCCCAAAACTATTTGTGCATTATTTTTTTATTATGTTTGGGGTAATTTTTATTTTTCGTCGAAAATCCCCCTGTATGGGGGACAGGCCCGACTTGACTCTGGCGCGTTCCGCGCGCTGCCCTGAGGCCCAGGCGCTGCAACCTTCTGAGCACCCAGCGTCTTCGCCCTGTTTTTCGGGCCCCCTGGGCCCCTGGCGCGCTCCGCGGGGTGTGGGCCGAGCAATTTCTGCGGGCGGAGGGCAGAGGGTGAAATCTGCAATGCCGTTTCGATTGTTCTTCGAGGTCTGAAGCTGCAAGAGGTGAATCACAAGACGGACTGATTCTCGAGGTGCACAGGCCCGTATGGGTTTCACCCTGAGCCCTCCGCCCTAAGAAAAGTAGGGGGGCACATGCGAACCCTGCCCCTACCCCCCACGATTTCTGAGGGGTAGGGTGGGGTTCACTTCGTTCGGGAGCTCCCGAGCAAAGTGAACCCCACCCTCCCCCTCAGAAATCGTTGTGGGGTGGGGGCAGGGTTCGCACGTGGCCCCCTAAAGATGCTTAGGCGGGGAGGGGGGTCCAGCGCTGGCCTGGGAGACCCGCGCCGGCCTCCGAGCGCTGCGTGATGCTGGTGCCGCTTGCCCTCGGGCATCGCGCGAGCGCCCACCCAGGCAAGTCGACTGAGGAAGTCTGCACCGGCTCCTCCCTCCTCCTCCTCCTCCTCCCTCCTCCCTACTCTCTCCTCCTTCTCCTCCTCCTCCTCCTCCTCCTCCTCCTCCTCCTCCTCCTCCTCCTCCTCCTCCTCCTCCTCCCCTCCTCCTCCTCCCTCCTCCTCCTCCTCCTCCTCCTCCTCCTCCTCCTCTCCTCCCCCCTCCCCACCCTCTCCTCGTCCTCCTCCCTCCCTCCTCCCTCCCCCCTCCTCGTGCCGGTGCAGCCCCCAGTCGGTCCCACTGCTCGCCGCGCGTTTCGCCTGACACATTGGGTCGTTCTGGGCATCGGTGAGCTGCTCCGCCGGGGTGCACCCGGAGCGCGGTGCCGTGCGCACGTGGAGTGCCCCATGGCAGCTTTCGCCGAAGGGTGCTTTGCTAAGCCTGGCATCGCTCGGACGTGTGCATTTTTTTCGGCGAGGACCCTGGAGGAGCATCCTGGACCATCGAGCAAAAAAAATTGCGCATGAGACCGAAACCTGCACGGGAAATGGGCGTCCGAGCGACGGCAAGTAATAAGGAGGTTCTGTCCACCCCCGGTGGGGCGACGTTGAAAAGCGGAGCCGTCGTCACCGACAGTGGCGCGTAAGCTGCCCGCGTAGGGCCGCACGCGAGCGCCTTCGTTCCAAATGTGGCGCGCCGCGCCGGCGGCCCGCGTCAGCCGCCGCGTGAGGTCGCTACGGCATCTCGCGTAAGACCCGTTTGTTTCGTCGCTCAATTGAGGAAATGGACAGGGACGACGCCTTGATAGTGGTGTTCGCCGTGATCGTCACGCTCTTCCTCGCGTTCTGCGTGTACCAGGCTGCAGGGCTCGAGCGAAACGTGTTTGGGGCGGTCTCTTGGACCCCTGTCGTTCTGGCTTCGTCTTTCAGCGAAGGCAGGACGACCAAAAAACGAGGGTAAACGAAAACAACAAACACGACCAACACAATTTAGATCGAGCCTTGCCAGGCAGCCAGGTCGTACGTGAACTACCGCAGGTTCAAGTCGGAGGCAGCTGACTGCACAAAGGAGCAGAAGAGGGGAGCCCGCATGGTCACTACCAGCATGTGGGACTACAACCGGTACCATTTGAGTTATTGGTTCGTGACTTTCCCAGGTGCCAAAGCGGTAGTCATATTCGGAATATTCGTGTTTCTCGTTCTGCTCGGCTCGATCTTGTATTACACGATCGAGGGGGAGAGAATCTCTGTCTCTCTGCATAAAGTGATCGCCTGGCTCGTGAGCCCAGATTCTGGCGTGGCAGAGAAAAGTAAGGAGGGGTCTACCATGGGAGTGTTCCTCAGCATCTCAGGGCTTCTATTGTTCGCTCTGATGCTGTCTATGATTCAGGACGCATTTACAAGTTTCGTTGACGAGATCCATCAGGGCCATAGCAACTTGGTCACGACCAATCATACTGTCGTGCTCGCCTTCGACTATGCCAACACCCAGACGATCCCATTGGTGCAGCAGTTGTGCTACGCCTTCGAGCACCAGCCTTATGGCGAGACGATTGCAGTGCTGACTAGTAATCCGAAAGTTGAAGCCGAGGCCCATATTCGCAGCAGTGTAGACCTACGGAATAGCCGGCTGGTTGTGAGGAATGGCACGCCAGACAACAAAGATGCCTTGCAGTCGGTAGCTGTCCAGTTCGCGAGGCGCGTAGTCATAACGGTGAACGGCACGCTCAGCAGAGAGCAGAGGGACGCTTACACGATGCAGGCGCTTATCGCGTTGAAGTCCCACGACTGGCCAGCGCGCGGCGATATATTGCTTCTGACGTCTCTCCCGCGACACGAGGCAACCTTCCAGAGAGTCGGAGGGACAAATACGCACATCCTCAGCCTTGATCACGTGGTGGCGAACATCCTCGTCCTCTGCAGCGAGTACGACGGGATTTGCAACGTCATCGACATGATGGTCGGATTCGACGGTTCCGAGTTCTACATCGCCGATGTGCCAGAGTTCCTGGTGGGCAAGACTTTCGGAGAAGCATCTTTCTACTACCCCCAGGGACTTGTGGTTGGCTGCGGATTCGATGCTTATGGACACCCACGGCTGTGCAACGATCCCAAACAAGAAATGGCGTTGGGTGACAAATTGATAATTGTCGCCGAGGATGCGGGAAGTCTACAGGCGCAGCAACAACGCTGCGTAAGCCTTGAGGATGCCAGCCACCCGTTGGCCCAACAGTGCATGACCAGGCGAGAATCCGTTGACCACGGTACGCATAATCCGTTTTCCATGTCGGCCCATTTGTTCGACAATGCGTCTTCTGGCAATAAGGTGACGATCTTGATTCTGGGATGGAGCAGCATGGTGGGACTAATGCTTGTCAAGCTCGACCGCGTTGTTCCAAGCGGATCGAAAGTTATCAGTTTCCATTATACGCCTGTTGATGACCGCAAGCAAAGGATAAATTACGCCCAGGTCCGCTATGAAACCAATCTGGAGCATCTCGAAGTGGAGTGCATACAGGGAGACCTGTGCTCGAAAAAGGGGTTCGATGATATGCCGACAAAGTTCGGCTCGAGCTTCTGGAATGAGGTTGGCAGAATTTTCATCGTCTGTGAACACTCTCCAGCCGAGGCATGGCAAGACGATGCGTCCACCATGGCGACTGCTGTCATGCTGCGGAGCTCCCTCACAGAACATATCCCTGATCGCTCGGAGCACCCCCCCATAATTGTTGAGCTCCACAGCCCACAGTCGCGCAAAATGGCCATTAACCAGGGTTTTGAAAACTACGTGATGACGTCTAGCATTCCATCACAGGTGATGGCTACTGTTGCAAGGCAGCCTTTGCTGAAGAACGTGCTCCGAAATGCGTTCTCCAATCGTGGGCACCCAGTCCAGGTACGAGGCTTGAATGACTACGTGCAAGTACCTGACCATCAGCTGAAGCTGACCTTCTACCAGCTACAAAGCATCATATCTAATTCTGACGACATCCTGATAGGATGGTCAAAGCCCCGCCGAAGCGCCAGCAAGAACACCGGAGGCTTTACGGATGAGGATGCGGAGCGCGAAGACAGTTGGGATTTCAACCCAGCCGACAAGAAAGGCTATCGATCCTGGGATGTGGCCAAGGACGGGATGGCTCTTCCTCCCTCCTTGGTGCGCACGCGTGGAAAGGCACCCCGCTCTCTCCACATCCATCTTGCCTTTGTCGCCACTCTTGCCGAATGTCCTAACCTGCATAAGCATATTTTTGCGAAACTCCTGGCGGATTTCTTGGATCGGCGTTGGGCCCCCTGGCAGCACCTCTGGCGCGCTCCGCGCGCCAGGGAGGGGGGTCTAGCGCCGATCAGGAAATCCGCGCGGATCTCCAAGAAATCGTGTTTATGCTGCTTGTTGTTCCTCTATCTTTCTGCCGCCCCCCTGCCCCGCCCGCCTCTGGGCTCCTCGGGTCCCCCAATGGCTCCCCCGAGGCCCCCTCTTGGAACCACAACACGTATTTGCAGCTCGTTTCTTGAGTCAGAAATTGTCCACGGGTTATTGTTTGCTTGTGAAGATTTGGTTGGCGCGACGTTGCTCATCCGAGGCGCCCCCTTAGCGTTACTCGTTTTCTCTCGTCTTGGTCTCTTGTAGTCGTTGCTCGGGTTCCCCGGTCTTCTTTCTTGGGTCCCCCAGTCCTTGCAATGCCAAGCAATGTCAACCGTAGCCGAGCAATGTCAAGCAATTCAAAGCAACGCCAAGCAATGCCGAGCAGGCAATGCCAAGGAACGCCAAACAATGCCAAACAATGCCGAGCAACACTGCAATGCCAAGCAATGTCAAGGAACATTAAACAATGCCACGAAAAGCCAAGCCACGATGCTAAGGAATGCCAAACAATGATTCCGAGCAAGACCAAGCAACGCCAGGCAATGCCAAGCAGCGCCAACCAATGCCAAGCAACGGCAAGTGACGCTAAGCAATACCAAGGAATGCCAAGCAGCGATTCTGAGCACTGCCAAGCCATTCCAAGCAACGACGAGCAATGCAAAACAATGCCAAACAACGTTAATCAACGGTTCAAAAGACTGCCAGTCAATGCGTTGCATTGCATTGCATTGCTTTGCATTGCTTAGGGCTGGTTTGAAGTGCATCGCTCTGCATTGCTCAGAACTCCATGGCTTCGGATTGCTTTGGATTGCGCCTGCGTTGGAAGAAAGAGGACCCTTAATTAGGGGCGCGCCCGGGCCATTGGCTGGTTTGGGCCGTCTACGGACCAGTTCCCGAACCGTTCGCTCGGCCTGTCAGGAGCTCTTGGGCTCCTTGGGCCATCTTGTCGTACAGTGAGCGGCTTGAATAAGGAACACTTGGTTTTCAAAAGGGGCTCGGTCGTTCCTTAGGGTTGCATGCGTTATTTGTCGTTTCTGATGTGTTATATATTACTTACCGTTCCTGATGCGTTACTTTTCGCTTGGGTGAAAAGGGGCTTCGTTTCTTATGTATCGTTCCTTCGGTCAGGTCGATGACTGTAGTCTTGGGGTCCCCTGGGGTCATCTTGGGTTTCTCTTGCGGCGTCGTGGGGCCGTCCTGGGGACAGCCATGGAACGTCGTGCACCCTCTTGGGGCTCGGTTGGGGTCCTTTGGGCCCCTGTTGGGCTTCACCGAGGCCATCTTGAAACCATTGTCTGGAGCCGAGAAGTGAGCCATTGCACAAACAATCCCGAGGTTGCCTCTGTGTGCCGTTTGGATATCTGTTCCCGAACCCCTCGCTCGCGAATTGCGGTGATGGCGTTCGTTGAGCAATGTAGGCAGGAGGCTTCATACCCTGGAGCGTTCCTTATCTGATGATGGCGGCGGTGATATCCACGGCCAAGCCTCAATTGGTGTGCCACCTGTTTTGAAACCCTGGATTCCTTATTCAAGGGGTCCTTCTCCAATGCCCGCACTGTGTTGTCAGGTTGATGCTTGACAGGAGGTCTGGCCGTCACCGGTGTTCGCCACGTCCGCCGTTCCCAATGAGCCATGGGTGCGTGTGATCGGTAGCCTGTCGCGCGCTTTCGGGACGTATTCTGAAGGATGGGGAAGAAGGTAGGATGTGAAGGAGGAGCTGAAGAGTGGAGGACGGGAAAGAAGAAAAGGAGGAGGAGCAGGAGGAGGAGGAGGAGGGGAGACAGAAGAGAAGCAGGAGGAGAAGGAGAAATCCACCTCCTTGTTTCTGTTGCTGCTGCTGCTGCTGCTCCTCCTCCTCCGAGGACAAGATGATTGTGATTACAGGCCACCCGAACATCCACGGGAGCCACAGCGAGCACCATTGAGTTCACCACGAGCGGCCCGTGACCACCACAAGACTTCTTTTCCCCCTCACCCTCAGAACACCTTCTGACCTCCACGCGAGCGCTGCAAAACAAATGTGTCGTCTTCACCAACATTCGCGAGCAAGCTGCCCGCGTAAGGTCGCGCGTAAGCGCCCTCGCATCCAGTGTGGCGTGCCGCGCTGGCGGCCCGCGTAAGCCACCGCGTAAGGTCCCTGCGCCATCTCGCGTAAGGCCCTTTTTTGATCGTCGCTCACATGTCGCGCCTCGCCCCCCCTCCTCTTCCAGTGGGGGCACATGCCAAGAAACACCCTGCTTGCCTCCAGGGTGCCCTGGCTTTCTCTTGGGCTTCCATGGCTTTTGTCGGTGGAGAGCGCGCTTGCCATGGAGAGCGTGACGCTACCACACCAGGAACCGAGGGACGCCCTGGGCCTCAGGGCTGGGCTTCTCGTGGCCGGGCTTCTTGCGGACCGGCCCCCACCGTGCTCCACCGCTGCCCTTCCGCGGTGCTCTGCGGCCCCCCCCCACATCCCCTTCGTTCCGCAGCTGCCGCTCCGAGGCGCTGCGGCGGCCTGCCGGGGCGCCCGACGACGGGGACCGACGCTGCGACGAGCGGCGGGCACGCGGCCAAGGCGCGGCGAAGAGCGCAGACTCGAACAGAGGCTCGCGGAAGCCTCGCAGCTCGGCGGAGCCTTCTCTCCCTCGTCCTCGCTCCTCCCCCCTCCCCCCTCCCCCCTCCCCTCGAGGAGGAGGAGCAGGAGGAGGCGGAGAAGAAAGAGGAGGGAGGAGGAGGAGGAGGAGGAGGAGGAGGAGGAGCAGGAAGAGGCGGAGAAGGAAGAGGGAGGAGGAGGAGGAGAAGGAAGAGGGAGGAGGAGGAGGAGGAGGAGGAGGAGGAGGAGGAGGAGGAGGAGGCCGCGGGGGGGCGTGGACCCTGATGCAGCCATCGCACTGAGAAGGAACGCCGAACGAGGAGCGCAGGGGCCCGCCTGGTCGCGGCGAGCCTCGGCCACGAGCGGCTCCCCCCGACCCAGCTCTGAGGAGCGGCCCCCCGCAGGTGGTCCTTCGCGAAGCGCCCTTTCCCGTGCGGGGCGCTGGCCTCCCCGCCACGCCTTCGGCGGCGAGCGAGGTGGAATTTTCGGATTGGCTCCTCGCTGAAGCACGCGGCCCGTCGAGACTGAGCGGCGCTGCAGCTAGCAGAACATCAGTCAGGCTAAAAATTTCTGCACGGGCACCAAGTATACAAGTACAGTACAGTACGATGGGACCCCCGCGACAGAGCGGACGGAACGCGTCGAACCAAAGCAGGAGCGAGGTGGGGGGGGGAGAAGGTGAGGGCCTTCTCCGCAGCCAGGCAATCGCAGGCATGGATCAAGGGGCGCGGATCAGCGACGGGTCCCGCTTCCATGGGAAATTGCGGATTTCCGCCGCCGAGCGAGGCGGCACCGGCCGCATTTTGGGCAGGGCACCTCCCCCGACCCATGGATTTGGCGACCGCGCGCCAATTCCATGGATCGCTAATCCGTGTTTGCGCGCCCCTGAAGAAGGCACGGAAGTTCCCCGGCCTTCTTAGAAGTGCTCGAAGGCTTCCCCGAAGACCAGAAAAATTTTTCAGAAGGCGCGAAGGCGGCCTCTTGAGAGGGCCTGCTCCTTCTCTCGGCGGCGAGCGAGGGGTGGGGAAGGGAGAAGGAGAAGGCCTTCCCAGAAGGCGACGGGGCTTCTCAGAAGCCCTCTGGCCATCTGAGCAGCTGTCTCCGTCTCTGGGGGAGGGCTCAGGAGACTTCTCCGAGGGCCGGGGCACTTCCGAGCCCTCCGAGGAGGCCCGCCCCTTCTCACTTCCCCCCGGACTCGCCGCCGATGACAGGAGCTCCCAGGGGCAACGGTCTTCTCGGAAAGCGGCGGGGGAAGTCTCCACATTTTCGGGGGAGGGCTTTGTCAGAAGGCTGGAGGACTTCCGAACCTTCTGAGGAGGCCCGCCCCCTCTCACCTCCCCTCCGGGCGCGCCGCCGAGCATCGTGCGACCGCGGCCTCTTCCCTCGAACTCTTGACGAGCGCCCTGGTGCCGCGAAATCTCTCGAGCATCGGGAACAGGGCGTGTATCGTCGCTGTCCTCGGCCTCACTCGTCCCACGGTCGATCGGAACTTGGAAATTGTGGGCGCGCGCGCGCGCTGGGCAGCGAATCGTGTCAGCATCGTTTCACCGATCCCCATCCCCCCCAGAGGACACAGATAACTTCTCAGAAGGGCCAGAGGCCTTCCGAGCCTTCTAAGAAGGCCCGCCCCTTCTCACTTACCCCCCGGGATCGCCGCCGAGTTGGGCATCGTGCCCGTTTTTGTCCGTACCCGTTCCGGGCCCCCAAAAGAGCTCATCCGATCTTGGTTTTGCCGCTCGTGTTTGCCGCATGCACGGACGTGCTGCTTCGTGTTTTTCAAGGGCGCTTCGGTCTGGATTGCGTCATCCGCCCTTTCGCAGACGACGTGGGAGCTGTCCTCGATGATGCCCCAGCGCAGCTTCCAGTACTTGCGGCGGCGCTTGAAATTCGGGTAGCTGTCCAGCATGCAGGTCGACCTCGACGAAACAATCGGCACTCCGCACTGGGAAGCGCCAGTGGGCGAAGATCGCGTCCAGGTTGCGGCTGCTGCTCCTTCGTGGGCTCCGTCCTCCCTGCCGCGAGGCCATTTACCTTGGGTGTCTGATCGGCCGTGGTAAGGCCGGCAAGGAATGGGGCAGGGCAGGCGCGAGGTTCCAAGAGCGCGTGGCGGGATGGCCCTGGGGATCCCTCGGCTTGAGCTTCGCGACTTCTCTCTGCAGCGTAGACGCGCTGCCCGCCTTGAGCTTCACTGCGCAGGTCGCCGACGTTGACAACAAGGTCAGCGAGCTCGAAGCGCGGGTGTGGGCGCTGCGACGAGCGGCGCCGGGCCTGGGTGCATGGGCCTTCCCAGAGGATCTACGGCACCTCGGCGTGCACGACGGCATGCCGCAGCCCTTCGGACAGCTGGGCGTGCTGGGACATGCCGCCAAGCTCCGCGTCGCGCCCTACGCGAACCGGCGCATGGGCCCAATCGGATCGGCAGGCCTGGTCAACGTCGTCAGAGCTGAGTGGGGCCAGACGGACCACATTCAGCGCACGGCGGCTTGGGCGAGCTGGCTGGAGGCATCTATACCACGCACGTTAGTTCGCATTGCCCAGGTCCTGCGAGGCTGGGGTCTGGAAGTTGAGCAAGTCGCTGCTTCTGTAACAGGGCAACCGCGCGAGGCGCTACCTGCAGAAGCCTGGGATCGCGCTTAGCACGGCTTTTAGCGGGAGTCCCGACGCCAGCTGCGACAGCTTCGGCACGCGTCTGCGCACACCAGGGTGAAGTCAAAATTCCACCGTTGGGGTTTCCCCAGAACGCCGCGATTAGTGGCAGACCGATTCCTGCAGAGAACCCAGAGTTTGGGCGCACTGGCGCAGCCAAGGGCCGTCGCCGCGGTGCTCCGCACGGGCTGGAACGGCTGGTGCAGTGCGCCACGGCTCCAGGAGCGGAATTGCCCGTGGGATACATGCTTGTTCGGATGCGGCTGGAATGCCAAGGACAGCATCGAGCACCACTGCAGGCGCAGTGGTGCGCCAATTACACGCGACTTCTTGGGGCATCTGCCACGATTGGCCGCTGCCCCTCTGGCTCGGGGCGGACGACCCCCAGTACGTCCTGGGCATGCTAATGCTGGCGTTCTTCGGCGCGCACTCCGTGCACCGCGCCTTCAACGCGGCGCGCCAAGTCGGCGGCTTCCCAGCACACCAGGCGCCCCGCGCCATTGAGCAGTCCTTTCGTGAGGTGGTTGCCGGCAACGCGCCGTCGGAGCGCACGTCGGCGCCCGCATGGCAAATACCCGGCCCAGGGGCTCCATCACCGACCGCAAGGGGCGCAAGTTGTGTGACTGCGCTGCGCGGCACTGAGTCGAGAGCCTGGCTGTGGGCCGCTCCTCTCCTCCTTTCCTCCTCCCCCTCCTCCGCCGCCCCTCCCCCCTCCTGTTTCTGTTGGCCCTATGGTACAGACGGTCCCTCCTGCTGTCGTCTCCTTCGTTCGTCGTCTTTTCGTCTCTTCCGGTCATCTCGCCCTTCCCGTTCCTTTCGTTGGCCGTCGGCCTCTCCACCCCCCTCGGGGGCTGTCCCTCGCTGCTGGTTGGTGAACGGCGCGTTCCCGTGCGTCCGCTTGCGGATGCATGTGGGTGCATCGATCGTTTCTAGCGGCGTGTTACCTTCCCTGCTCCCTCCTGGGTGTCGCCTCGCCCGTCGTTGCTGTTTGCTTGCGGACCGAACCTGCCCGGGCCTCGGGGTTATTGGTTATTGCCAAATTCTTCCGGCCACGATCGTGGGTCAAGACATGCGTGTGGCGGCCTCCGCATCGACAGGGCCAGTGTTGCGGCCGAGACGTTCGTCAACGGCGGTCCCCGTCCTTTTTCTCCTCCGTCATCCGCCTCCCTTGTTTCAACCGTGGCGTTGGTTTATGGGGCAAGCTGCGCGGCCAGCGATGCGGCCGAGACACTCGTCGAAGTCGGTTCCCCTTTCGTCCTTCCTCCGTCTTCCGCCTCCTCCTTCCTGTCTGCCTCATCTCGTTGCGGCGTGTTGCGAGCTTTCGTGCCCCCTCCGTCCCAGTCGCGTGGCCGAGGGAATTTGGGACACGCTGCGCCCAACAGACAGCCGATCCGAGCTGCCTTCCCTCTCGACTCTTCCTCCTCCCCGCCCACGAGGTTCCACGCAGCTGGGCCCGCAGTTCGTCTTGCTTGGTGTGTCTTGCTTTCCTGGGTTGCGCTGCGCTGAAGGAGCGCGGCTCCCCAGATGGCGCGCGCCATCTGCCCGCCGGCCCGCCGCTCCCGCGCGGGTGGCGCAGGCGCCTGGCCGAGCGCTCTGGCCGGGTGTGTCGCCCCGTCTTGCTCGGGAGTCCGCGGTGGGCCCCGGATCGGGCCCGTCAGACAGCTTCCTGGCCCAAGAAGACAGCCGGGGTGCAAGCGATTCAGGAGG